AGACCCAAGCCCTTATAAATATATTAGGCACTGTTTTAGCTCCACAGAAAGCAGTAACACATTCTGTAATAGGAATTATCCAGTCTTTATCAAAATTAAAATTAGGGGCACCCAAAGGAAAGCTAATTTAGAGATACTGAAATGAAGTATACTTCACAGAATTTATAGACCAAATATGTAGAATTTCCTGTTGCTGAAATGATCACCATGTGAGATACAGTGACAAGATTGGATTATTTAGGATTGGTGTTAGCATATGATAACCACAGTGATCAAAAAATAATTATATGCATCTAAAATGTCAAGCATAAACTAAGATCAGAACAAATTTTCTTTTTCATATTCACTGCTATACGATTCAAATCATTATCTTATACCCTAAGGAAATCTACTAGAATCAGTTTACATCACACATAAGGCTGAACACATATACAAAACTTGATCATTTCAGAGCCTATTTAGGTGCTACTTAAATTGCTTTTGAGTCTTTCAATAAAGGACAATATATGGGATGAGGTTTCTGCAAACCAGGTAAGTTAGCTTGCCAACAGGAGATTTTCAACATAACATTTATTCACCTTTAGTAGCACACATGCTATTTATATTTTACTTAGACCTGTTAGACTTGAGATTTTAAGTACCTTATGTTTATTTATATGATGAAATATGATACAAATCCTCCTATAAATTACATGAGTGCAACACAAAGCTAACACTTACTTAAACACCACCAAAAAAAAAAAAAAAAGCCTATGTTTTCCTCCAAAGCAACCTTCATGTAAACTGAAATTATGCAGTGGAAAAACACCAAAAGCAAATACCACAAAAAATCATGAAAGCTCACTACCTGCAACTCTAAACAGATTCAACAGGTTCTTCAACTAACTGTGCACATCCAGCAAGATTAAAACAGCTTAAAGCCAAAGAACACTTAAAATAATAACCCTTCAAAAACTACAATGACTTAAAATTCACATCAGCCATTAATTTCTCTTGTTTCTATGGCATTATATAAAGGACTAGAGTGACTTTATCTGGAACATTTTGAACAAGATATTTGAAATATCCAGGAAATAAAAAAATAATGAAATCAGTACAACTTTCAGAAAATGGTAAAAAGGAAAAATAGGTTTCAACAGTTAAAATCTATCAGCCATAAAATACCTTAGAAAACACATCATTCACTGAAAGCATATTTGAAGTGTACACAACTGGCTGTTGTAAAAGTCATCTGAAGTACTTACCATCAGAAAAGCATCATCTAATAGTGCTGTGCAGTGCACTCATAGAATACTAATGTTACAGGCTGTTTTACCAATAACTAACTTGTTATTCACAAAGTCATAGACCTGAATAAAAATAACCAAAACCAATCTTACCTTTTGCTGTATGAAATTCTGCTGCCTTTCTTAAGTAAAGGAATAGCCCATCTCTCCTGCAGCGGAATTCTGGCAGATCACTCTTCTCTTTCTAACCCTAAGCTCCTGCAATTGTTAATGTAATATTAACATTTTTTTTGGTTTAAAAATGTAGTTCAATAGAGAATAGGAGACATTCTATGCCACTGAAATCAATATTAAAACAAAAAACACAGGATTTGACATTGGTGATCACCCACTTCCCATTCTGTAAAGATTCCTATTGATTTTCCATCTCTCCCAGCCCTCCTTCCTTTGTTCTCGTGCCTGTCTCTCCTTCCTTCTACTACATACTCACTCCTTTTTGTGAATGCTATCTCCTCCTTTCCCTCCTCCCCACTTTCTTACTCTAAGATGCTGCATGCATGGAAAAGCTCCCCCAGTACTTCTTGCATTTGTAACCCTCAACTGATAGATATGGCTTTATGGGAAAAATGTATTACCCGCAGTTTCTATTTGGATACAAATATATAACCCAATATATACAATATACCCACCGATTATTCAGGCAAGATTCTAAAAGTTCAACGTGGAGCATCAGGAGCCATTTGCACTATCTCTCATTATACGTCATCAGGGTCTGCCTTATTAAAAGTCACTTATTTATGTAGGCAACCTCTGGAAGCTATCAGGAGAACTGGGTACACAGGATTTGGAGAAGACTGAGGTTCTGAATGACTTCTTTGCCTTGGTCTTCACTGGCAAAGGCTCTGAGTGCACCACCCAAGTCTTGGATGGCAGATGCAGGGACCATGAGAATGAAGACCCTGGGCCCACTGCAGGAGAGGATCTGGTTTGAGACCATCTTAAAAATCTGAACGTGCACAAGTCCGTATTACCTGATGAAATCCATCCACGGGTCCTGAAGGAGCTGGTGAATGAAGTTGCTAAACCACTGGCCATCATATTTGAAAAATCATAGCAGTCAGGTGAAGTTCCCAATGACTGGAAAAAGGGAAATATAACCCCCATTTTCAAGAAGGGGAAAATGGATGACCCGGGGAATTACAGATCAGTCAGTCTCACCTCTGTGCCTGGCAAAATCTTGGAGCAGATTCTCCTGGGAGGCATGCTAAGGCACATGAAAACCAACAAGGTGCTTGGTGACAGTCAGCATGGTTTCACTAAGGGGAAATCCTGCCTGACCAATTTGGTGGCCTTCTATGATGGGGCTACAGAACTGATGGACAACAGTAGAGAAGCTGATGTCATCTACCTGGACTGGTGTTACCGTTCAACACTGTCCCACACAACATCCTTGTCTCTAAATTGGAGAGACATCAATTTGATGGATGGGCCACTGGGTGGATAAAGAACTGGCTGGATGGCCACACACAAAGAGTTGTGATCAATGGCTCAAAGTCCAGCTGGAGACCAGTAACGAGTGGTGTCCCTCAGGGATCAGTGTTGGGACCGATCCTGTTCAACATCTTTGTCGCTGACATGGACAGTGGCACTGAGTGTGCCCTCAGCAAGTTTGCCGATGACACCAAGCTGTGTGGTCCGGTTGATACGCTGGAGGGAAGGAATGCCATCCAGAAGGACCTTGACATGCTTGTGAGGTGGGCTGATGCCAACCTCATGAAGTTTAACCATGCCAAGTGCAAGGTCCTACACTTGGGTCGGAGCAATCCCAGGCACAGGTACAGGCTGGGCAGATAAGAGATTCAGAGCAGCCCTGCGGAGAAGGACTTGGGGGTGCTGGTTGATGAGAAAATGAACATGAGCTGGCTTCAATGTGTGCTTGCAGCCCAGAAAGCCAACCGTATCCTGGGCTGCATCAAAAGGAGTGTGACCAGCAGGTCGAAGGAGGTGATCCTGCCCCTCTACTCTGCTCTTGTGAGACCTCACCTGGAGTATTGTGTGCTGTTCTGGTGTCCTCAACATAAAAAGGACATGGACCTGTTGGAACAAGTCCAGAGGAGGGCCACAAGGATGATCAGGGGACTGGAGCACCTCCCATATGAAGATAGGCTGAGAAAGTTGGGGCTGTTCAGCCTGGAGAAGAGAAGGCTGCGTGGAGGTATCGTAGCAGCCTTCCAGTACCTGAAGGGGGGCTATAGAGATGCTGGGGGATGGACAGTTCATTAGGGACTGTAGTGACTGGACAAATGGTAATGGACTCAAACAGGGGAAGTTTAAATTGAATATAAGGAAGAAATTCTTTCCCGTTAGGGTGGTGAGGCACTGGAATGGGTTGCCCAGGGAGGTTGTGAATGCTCCATCCCTGGCAGTGTTCAAGGCCAGGTTGGACAAGGCCTTGGGTGACATGGTTAGTGTGAGGTGTCCCTGCCCATGGCAGGAGGCTTGGAACCAGATGGTCTTAAGGTCCTTTCCAACCCTAACTATTCTGTGATTGTATTTTTTTATGTTGGAAGTTAACTCTTAAAACATGTGCTCACCAACATATATGCTGAATATCCCGTTAAATGCAGCAGGACTATATATTTATTTTAGCCTAATTTTCTAAATGATCCTTTACTGTGAAATCCCTTATTTTTATTCTGTTCACTTACTGCATTCCATGTGTTGCTTCCCATCGCCAGAAATGGCCTACCAGGAGGCTACGACAAATAAAGCCTCTGCTGTGAAACACCTGAAGAAAAGTACAAAGATCAGTGTCTACAGAGCCATTGTATTGTCTACTCTTTTATATGGGTCTGAATCATGGGTCATCTATCGTCATCACCTGCGACTCCTGGAACACTTTCATCAGCGCTGCCTTCGTACAATTCTAAACATCCATTGGACTGACTATGTGTCTAATGTCACTGTCCTCGAACAGGCAGGGGTCACCAGCATCGAGGCCACATTGCTGAAACTGCAGCTGCGCTGGGCAGGGCACGTCTCTAGGATGAAGGATCACCGCCTCCCCAAGATCGTGTTTTACGGTGAACTTGCCACCGGTAGCCGCAAGAGAGGTGCCCCAAAGAAGAGATACAAGGACTCCCTGAAACAATACCTTAGCCTTGGCCATATTGACTACCATCAGTGGTCCACCTTGGCCTCCAATCGGGAGACTTGGAGGCACACCATACATAATGCTGCTGACTCCTTTGAGAGTTCACGAAGAACTAGTCTCGAGGAGAAAAGACAACGCAGGAAGAATCGTGTCCCACCTGTTCCACCCATGGAGACCTTCTGCTGTGTTTTTTGTAGCCGGATTTGCCTATCCCACATTGGCCTTCTTAGTCATCAGCGCGCTTGTAGTAAGCATGGGTAAATGCCCTTCCCAAATCTTCGTTCGCAAAGTCAAGGATGATGATGATGTGAAACAGTAAACGTGTCGTTCAAAATACGTGTATTACAAAGTCAGGACCCTCACATCAGACCTACATTCCAAACGGCACCAGCTGACACGTGAGCTTCTCAGCAACCTGAAGGAGAACACTTTGCACGGCCCCCCAGCTGCGCACACGGCAGCCGGGCAGGGCGTTCTGCGGGGCTCCTGCTGCCACTTCGCCACAGGTCTCTGACGGGGGTGCCGGCAGACAGCCCGTTTCCAGGGCCGAGTGCCACAGCCAGCCCCAGCAGCGGGCGCTCCCGGGTGCAATCAGGGGCCGCTTCAGCTCCCTTCTTACCCAGAGGAGGGTGAAGCAGCCTCCGCTTTTGTGGGATAACCAACAAAACACGAAGGAAGGTGAACACGCGTGGCCAGCAGCCGGCCTCCCTTCACACGCACAGGCACCAGCCGAGGGTGACGTGCTGCCGAGAGACCGAAACCAGTCCGGGATCTGAGGGCGCAGGCGGCAACGCAGGCAGCGGTGGCAGCAGCAGGGCCGTATGCCCCTCGTCACCCACTTTCCCACTGCATCACCGAGCGCGGCCTGCCAGTGCCAGGCGAACGGAAGGAACGAGGCGGAGCTGGAAGCGCACGGTAGAAGACAGCCCCAGGGCCTCCATGTCACTAAAGCCGGCGTAAACAACCAGAACGCAAACCCTCTCGCTTGCGGAATACCCCATTCCCCTGACGGCTCTTGGCTTTTAAACCCCTTCCGGCGCCGGGAGTCGCCACTTTCCGAGCGCAGCTGCGGGGCCTGCCCGGGTAGCGAAGCTCCGTTGTTGCAGGGGCCTCCGCCCAGGCCCGAGACTGTTTCCGGCGGTGCGAAGCGGGCAGCGCGGCCCCGGGAAGCAGTGCGGTGCGTCCGGGTGCTTGGGGGAGCTGCTGGGCGGGTATGTCTTGGTTTGACACGGTCCTACGCACGTTTCAAACACTAACCTCAGGTGTGTTGTTTATAGGGAATCAATGGGTTCTGATGCAAAGAGAACGATGAAATTTGGTTGCCTTTCCTTCCGACAGCCCTATGCAGAATTAGTTTTAAAGTCAAAACAGTGGAGACCCGTTGGCGTCCTTTGCTAGCAAAGTACAAGGGCTGCACCATTGCTATTCCTATAGCTGTTAAAGACTGGGAAGATGAAACATGGGGAGCAGTTCTTTCAAATAGGTTTGGTATGACACCGCAACAAGTGCAAGACTTGTTGGATAAAGGGGAAAGGTGTGGCAGAGGAGTTATCGCAGGTGAGCAACTGGCAGTATTGCTTGGACTGTTTTCCAAGCAAGCTTTCAATCTGTTAACATTCAGTCAAGTACAAATGGACTTGACACAGCTGTTGTCGTTAAAACGTGTCATTAACACTTAGGTTGAGGGAGTGGCACCTGTGTTGTAACTGGGGGGCTATTTCAATTCCTCATGACTGTAAACTGAGGTCGGTGAGGGAAGTTGCGAATAGAATTTATTCTTTTCCATTGTGTTGGAAATGTGAAAAGTATGTTTGATCTCTGAGATAAAGAATTTTAGTCAGGCCTCAGTTTTTAACACACATTCAGTCAACTAAAAACTTTAGGCTACAACTCTATAAAGTGTATGCAAGAAATAAAATTGGGTTTCTGCTAACTCATCAGGCAGTAAGATAGTATAATGTGGGTTGTGTATTACCTTGTTTCGTGATAGTAAATGTCAGTTTCACACTTCTTGCATTTTGAGCTTAGATAGACTTGCTGAAACCATTTTACAGTACTGTTAGTCAAGTGAGATCACCATCTTGCAGTGATTTCATGTTATGACTATTACATAAATAAATTTCAGTTCTACAAATGTGCCATTGCTCTTGTTATTTGAGCAGTGAAGTTTGTTAACAAGTTAGGATGGTGTTTTTTTGCTTCTAATGTGCTGAAATACAACCCATGTTGCTGTACTATGTGCTTACAAAGCTTTTATCCACCACTCATTTTCCTCTCTTGTAGCTATCTTTTGTTACACCATCTATCTTCAACATTTATCTTCAGCATCTCAACATTTTCAGCTATTCCTGCACAACAAATTACTATCACATACACTGAAAAATTGTTTCTGTTCTAGTGCTGAAAACTGTTAACTACTACATAATGTGCAATTTGTAACCTTGACATAAATTGCATGCTAAATTGTGGAGTAGGCATCAAAGCTTCTTTGATCTTATTTTAACCATTAAGCAATATAGAAATTCCCTTTCATGACATTAAAAGGGTTCCAGAGAGTAGGAATTTTCATATAGTTTAATGATTTTAAAATGCTAATGGTGTCCTGGTAGGAGCAGAGTTTTATTTCTAATGAAGCTGTTTCAAGGCCAAAGGTAGCTGAGGAGTTTTGGTAGCAGCTGGTACACTTCCTTAGTGTACCAGTGTCTAACAGAGTTCTGTATCACTGAGATGTGAGTGTTGTAACTCCACACTTCAACTGTAATTCACCAGCCTAAGTTCAGTCACACAGGCCACCTTCTGCAGTGGATGACAGTGGTTTGAGATGTGTATGCTTCACGCTGTGTTCTGGTAACAAATGAGGTGGTTACTTTTGGAAAACTTTCCTCCAGGAGATCAACCAACCGATTTTGTATTTTGATTTTATAATACAGGATTGACGTTGGAGAGACATAGTTATGTCCAGAAAACTTGCCTCCTGAAGAGATTCTGGAGCTGGAAAAGAAAGCTGTCCTCAATAATCTAGAACAGAAATACTTGACTGTTGTTTTAAATGCAAGATGGCTTCTGGAACCAATTCCTGCCAGAGGGGTACAAGGTGTGTGGCAGGTGGACATCGCTGAGGAACTGATCCCTGCAGAACTGTAGGTGTTGCCCCTTACTATTAGTTTTCCTGCCTAAATGCAAACTTAGAATGATAGAATGTTTTGGGTTGGAAGGGACTTTGAAGATCTTCTAGTTCCAACCCCCTGGGCAGAGGCACTTTCCACTAGACCAGGTAACTTGTAATTCACAAGTCAGCATCTTGAATACCAGTGAGTTTAGGGTTCAAAACTAATTGTTTGAAATAGCAAATACATTTGAAGAACTGCCCTTTTGAGGCAGAATAAACAAAATGTAATTTTTATGACCATCACTGGAAATCATTGATGGTTTCCTAGATTCTTCCTACATAAGTAACTGCCATTTTTTAAAGATATATGGTTGATGTATTTTGTGTCAATTTCAAATGTAAATACAACCATATTATATCTCTGTATATGAGGAAAAGTTTGTAAGACCCTCCAGAAAAAATGGTGCTTGAAAGCAGGCTGCCTTTGTTAAGACATCTGTCTGACAGCCTACTCCTAACCCTACCTTTAGGAGCAGATTTTCCTTATTCACAGGTTAGGAATATTATGTGTGCATATGATGGGGGAAGCAGGCTGCAGGCTCTGTGACCTGACAGCCTCTGTAGGAAGCTCTTCATTAGAAGGTACCTGTACAAAATTAAAGGAAGCTATTATTTCTTTCTCTCATTTAAGATGGAAAATACTTGTATTTTCTGTATACATCTGTAACTACTGTAGAGACAAACAAATAGAAGTCACTAATTTTGGCACTTGAGTTTTTCAAAATTTACAATTTTTTTTTTACTTTCTGGATCAAGGCCCAAGGCCAGGCATAGGTATAACGACAGGACAACTGGCAGAGGCTTTGTATTTGGATAGTTTATTGGAATATGTAGGAGACTCTATTCCCTTGAACTATGCAGCTTCTGAAGAGCTGTGGGAGGTACCTTGCTTGTCCTGGGTTAGGGCCCAAAGCCATTGCACAAGTGCAAGTCAAGCCATGGTGCCACAGTGGAGTTTGTCCCTGAGCTGGCCTTGGCACAGACAGAGCAGCAGCTGCCCCGGGTGGTGAGCAGTTGTACTGAGCAGCACTTACTATTTTTTTCCTCTCGTTTTGTTATCTCTCTTTTCATTATAATTATTATAATGTCTTACTTTATTTCAACTATTAAACTCATTTCAGTGCATGGATTTCACTTTATCTCAGTTCTCCTTATCCCACCAAGGACTAGGATGGTGCAGGATCTGAATGAGCAGCTGCATGGTACTTAGCTGCTGACTGGCATTAAACCACAAAAACACCTTTCACACGTGCAGAAAGGTCCATACATTCTTTGCTGTTGTCTCATTGCCATGCTAAGGAAACTCTATCCATGGTATTTAAGCTACCTAAACTGTGGGTTCACCTGAACGCAAAGAGCAGCTGCAAGGATGTGGGAATATCAGACATCTGTTTTTATAAGATACTGCAGTGTAGGTTCCAAAGACTTTGTTTAAAGCATGGAGAAGTCCAAAACAATCAGTCAATGGCTGTTTCTTGAAACAAGAAAAATGCTATACCAACACCAACAAAGTTCCTAACTTGAAAAGTTTAATCACTGACTCCAACACAAAGTTGGTAATGAAGAGCAAGCCATGATATTTATACCAGCTAGCCAACATCTGTAAAACCTACAACTAATGTTTCTGGCATAGAATGCATACACAATGCAAGAGGGAACAGCTTATTAACAAGCAGTCTAATAGGAAAATAGTATAGGCACTGCTCAGCAACAATTACAACATGAAACTGGAAAAGCAACAAAAGTAGCGTTTAACTCCTAAGCCAGTGCAAAGGTTGAAATACATAAAAATTCACATAGCTGACTTGAAACCATCATGGAAGCTGCTGTACATTCTACTTCCTCCCTAAAAAAGCTTTCCAGTTTTGCCTGAGAAATGCAACACTCCTGAGCCTCTCTGGTTAAGACAATGATTGTTGCTGAACAGAAGTAGTAAAGAGGTACTGTACTAAGGCATACCCAAAGCACTTAAAACAGACATGGAAATCAAGTGTATCTTTAGAACCTAAAAGACGCGTCAAATATCATAGGCATTTCATACAGGGTTTTTAAAAAAATACTTTTAGATAATACTTATACTGTACACAAGACTTTTAAACAATATATTACACTACTAAAATGTTCATATAAATACTATACAGGCAACCGTGCAACCAGCCCATCAGGAAACTGCACAGATGATACCACCACGTATCTCTGGAAAAACTCAGATTATCTTTAGGATCTCCGACTCTGTAATTCAAGTGCTGATTCAGCAATACCTATTTTAAAGTAATCGGGACAAGGCATGAGATGAAATACATGTGTTCTGCTGATTCCCAGTTCAAGTTCACTATGCTTCCCTCATCTTAATCTGGCATGTCAATGTTTAACTTGGGAGGTGGAATGACATATTTCCCTGGACTTTGTGTGATGACCACCCCAGTCTTTTTTCGAAACATGGGTGCAATTTTTGGTGGTTCAGGTAGTGGTGTTTCTTCTGTTTCCTCATTGTCTTCATGATGAAGATCGTAAGAAATATTTCCATATTCTCGTAAGAATGGGAAAATTTCAAGCAGGAACTGGCAGAAGTCTTTGCGAATTCCAAACCACCCTAAAATAAATAAATAAAATTGTTTCACACTGCAGAACAGGGTGAGCAGAATATGCAATCTTGTTTCAGTTCTCTTTGACTACTTGCATAAGCAATATAAAATTTGTTAGTGCTGCTTAGCAGTGTGTTACTTAGTTCAGATTATACACACACAGGTAGACATACGGAATGTGTATATTTGCATGCCTCTGCATGTCTGTGCATGCATATCTCTGTATGTGCATCTATATGTATAAATTACAGCAAGAATCCATTTCATTTCAACTGTTAAGCAGTGTCAGGTCACATCAGTACACAGAGAACACAAAAGCAAATTGCTTGACCAAAGTAATTGGTGCCACATAGGAGACATCCATGCCAACTTTGATACATACAGGTTATAGGCAAACACAGTAGTAAATATATGTATTTGGTATTCCACAAATATTTTTGTTGTTAGCCAACTATAATGGGATGCCAGGAGTCTTACATACATCCTTGGCATTACCCGCGCTAGGTTATAAACTAGTACACATTCTGTGTTTGTTACAGATTTTGCGATATGCAAAGACGTGGAAAGAGTATCTAAGTAAGTGGTACTTGTAGTTCAGTAGGTGGCACTCCTCTAGTAACCAATACCAAAGGTCAGTGCTAGGAGGAACAGCCTCCCCAAGTCAGATCTTTCACACTGAACAAAAAGCATTTGCCAGGGAAGACAGCACACAACCCATCTTTTGGCAGAGATTATTCTTCATGGCCAACCGATGTATTTCATTTAGCATTTTAAAAGGTAGATTTTCATGCAAGTCTTCTGAGGCCCACTTGAGGTGAATAGTCTTATTAAAAAAATTATGTAAATATGTATTAACCCTACATAAATGATATGTGGCTCTCCAAAAGGCCAATCTGGCCATAAATTGAGGGCATGCATTAAGAGGGAAAAAAAAGAAAGCACCAGTGACAGTTTTCTATACAATATAAGCAATATAAAAACAATAAAAAATAAAACAATATAAAAGTAAAATAAATGCATGGAGATAAGATTAGTCATGACCAAAGAAATTCTCAGTATATTTCACAATCAGACCAAAACTGAAGTAAGTTTATGTAATATCACAGCTGGTTCAACTCTTAAAATCCTAACAAATTTTATTGTCTTGTCAACAAGGAATATGAACTGCAATGTGGATGGAGAAAGTTGGTCTGAAGAGCATCTGCACTGGTTCAGTAACATTAGATGGCTGAAAGTGCAAACACTTCCTTCAACAGTGTGGGCTGTGATGGGAATAAAAGCCTATAAAGCTACACTGGCCACTCAGGCAGCTGAAGTTACAACTGAGCAGCATAGAGCATTGTGTGGCCAAAGAGACAAGAAAATATTGATTCAGGATACTAGACCAAATGCTAATTAAAAATGGTAGGTGCAACACTATTTTTCAGAGCCCAGAGCACAGTGATCCAGTCAGGTCCCATGAGACTGAAACCCATGAAAAGAAGAAAGGATAAAAGGCTGAGTTATAATTAAAATCCCATTGAGACTTCAGGTTGAATCTGAGCACAAGTTATGCTTACAGGAATCAGGAAAATAAAAGCAAGAGGCACTATAAAAACTGAAAACTTTTTACATTCACCTGGAAACCACAGTAACATATACAGTTCTTTCATGAGAAAATATACATTAAAAAACCACTTTACGATAATAAAAATCTTAATAAAATTAAGCCTTGAGTTTCAGTCTGTTTCCGTGATATTTAAATACTTACAGTGATTTCCTCCTTTTTGTCCAAATGTTGTTGCCATTAAAGTTATCAGAGAAAGCCAGAGAGGAACAAATATGGGTATAAAAGAGAAAGAATTGTGCCCATCCAGTCTGTGTACTAGTAAGATCTAAATGACAAAGAAATTATACAATGTCAGTTGAAATGCAGTACCCGCTTTCAAGCTTCTTAAAACATACACTGATCTCTAACTTCACACATCTGTGAAGAAAAATGGCCTCCACAAAAACATGTAGTTACAGTTCCACTGTGATGCATATTCTGCTCAAAAAAATTGGAAGAAACATAGAATTCTTTGTTTTCTTTCATATTTGCTGTTAATACTTTGTTCCAAAACTAAAAGCACTATTCCCATTTTAGTTACTTCAAGTAGAAGCAGAGCAACATTACCACTCATTCTAGAAAGATGCAAACTCATTATGCTCTTTCCTACCTCAAATGTGAGGAGGGGCACTACAATTGTCATCCAGCTGACAGCCATGGTTATGTGTGTCCTCCTTTGCTCAGCAATCACATCCATAGAGCGCAAGAACAGAACGGACCATACAATGTAATAGAGCACTACTAGACATAGAAAGGACATCAAGATCCACAGTGGAACACAAACAACCTGAAAGAAAAAGAAATCAACTGGTTTTCCCCTTGAAAGCAGCACATTAGATTTGGTTTAGGTGTGGGATTTTTTTTACATAAAGCAAGTCTACATACTAAGTGTAAACAAGAAATAAGAATTTAAGTGTAATGCTCTTTAAATAATAAAATCTCTCACAGAAAAGCTTCACAAATCATGTACACTGCTACAAGCCACATCGCTCTGTGGGGTTCCTCAGCTTTGTAAACCCCATCAAACTGCAACAATTTGAAATTGAGTCAATGTAGTTCAACTTTAATAAGACTTCCGTGATTTAACATGGAATCACAGTACTCAAAAATTATTTTAGCACGTATTCTCTACACTGGACACCTTATTGAAACAGTTTCTAAATTAGATCCTTTCCCTAGTTTTTTG